TGATCCAGCAAGTGCTTGTTACTAAAGAAACATCACTGTTTTCCCACCTCCCAAAATTAGGCAAGTGCTTTACAATTTAACAAGCAATGGATTCAAAATCTGAAATGCAACCATGAAGACATATATAAGTGGAACATTTATATTTTGTCCATACAATAAGTTATAACTGCCTTTCTCTTTTATGTTCTATATGGGTGTTTTTTCCTAACTTTGACTAAAAGGATTAATAATATTTTGAAATGTAAGAGAAAAAGCTCCTTAAAGTCACAATTTCAAATAGCTTCTAATTAAAGAAGGGGAAAATTAGAGCTTTGAATACATTAGGAAATTAGTATCCCAAGTTGTTAACTCTTTAAAGCTTTTCACATGTATTAAAAATCTTACTATAGACCTCAATCCTGCACTCACTGAATTCAACTGAAGTTTTATCACTGATTTCAAAGACAGCAAGAATTAGGTTCTGGGCATTAAAAAGTAGATGCACAACAAATTCTAAAATTATTTTAAAAGATTATATTTTTGGATCAAAATACCAAAACAAAATTGTGTGGCACAGAAAACTATGCCTTATGGTTCATATAAAAGGTCATGAATCATAAAATCCATATGGATTAATTTTAGTAAAACTAAGACAAAGAAAACATATTATTGCAAGTCACTCTTTCAGACTGTTTAGTATTAATTTTTTATTTGCATACACATATGTCATCCCCCTTAGTTGTTGCTTTCCCTCCCTTCCTTCTTTCTAATTAAAGGAGAGGCTATATATAAGAAAAAATAAGGCCATGTCTCTCTCTCTCTCTAAACATGCAGGTTTCCTCAATATCAATGGGTGTTCTGCCACAGATTGCAGCTGTAAGCGGCGGCCCTTAGTTTTGGGGGCAGAGAAATGTTCGGTAACTGAAAAAAGGCAGTGATTTTGAAAAGTACATTGTTCTGAGAAAGATGCATTAGTTTAGCCAAAGGTGATGCTGGAACTCTTTCAAATCTCATTAATAAACAGCCAATACAAACTAATTGGTTTATATGTCCTATTCTCTTTATTTAGGTACTTGGCAACTCAGCCGAATCCAGTCTTATTGGATTCAGTAACTTAAAATACACTATTTTTGATCTGCTTTCCAACATGATCAACTGAAGAACATACAATAGCACAAAGATATCTTGAATATCCACAAATATTCAAGTGGATTTATAATATGATAGTTTAAAACTGGACTCAAACTCTGCTGTAGACTAGGGGTTTGCCTACTATTGTGGCTAACAGCAATATCAGCTCAAGAAAATACATTTTATGGAGATATTTCATGAATTATAGTGGTAGTTAGTTGCTATATAACACTTTTAGCAATACATATATATAAAGCTCATGCTTGAATAGAGATGAAAATGGTTCACAAAGCCTGGATTTGCTAGTGTGTCAACACACTATTGTTCACTGAATGATAGAAAGAGACCACTCAATATATAATAATAAAACTGCTACTGAATTATTTTGAAAGCTGTTCTAAGAATACTTTCATAGTATGATTGCTGAACTTAAAAATAGGTGTCAATTGATTCTTTTTCATCACTGAAATAGCTACATAACAAGGAAACCAGCTGAGTTTTTGCAATACTATTATGAAGATACAGAAAACCCTATTTCTGCTTTAAGAGTAATAAGCAAACAATATAAGTAGCCTTGATAGAATTCAACTTAATATAATTTTGACACATAATATTGATATTTTTAAACATTTTTCAATTTATCAATTTAAATTTTCACAGTTGAGGGAAATCATGGGTGGAGTCAGCCAATAATTATTTAATGACAGCCGTTGAGATTAAAAAAGTTAAAACTTTATAACCATTAAAACACAAATTGTCAAATCACATGTCAAATATACAAAGTAAATAGCTTTCAGTCAGACTAATTGGCAAAGTAGGAACTGCTTGAGAACTTGTGTAAATTTCTATTATCTGTGGAAATATTTTTTCCATCGGTTTGTTGTGTATGGGGGAGGGGGGGAATCAACATTTACCGATTTAAAAAAAAAAAAATCATCCATCCAAGCCTAAATATGAGCAGTTGATTTGGTGAGTAAACAAAAATACAAATATAGTTGCATATGCCTCTTTCACATGTTTATCATAGACTAACATCTGCTAAACACAGTAAAATAATGAAAATGTAATGACCTATTTCTTTGAAGACATATTTCAGTGTAAAGCACTCTAGTTGATAATTACCAAATGTCATGGTTAAAATTCCGCAAAACAGCGCATTCTGCTAAAGCTACATGTTCCAGTGTCAGAAGTGTGACAGGGACACAACACAAAATCATCAATATTAACAGCTCATCTACACCAGACATAAGCAGCTGCCACGCTGATCACTAAGGTCTAAAGGCTAATGTCACCATCTGGGGCAAATCCTTCCAACTGCCCCTTCCAACAAAAGACAGGTTTTTCTGTTTTGGAAGAGCATGGTAAATTAAAAGTGACTTGACATGTCAAGGATTTTCTGAACTTTGACCCAGCTATGAATTAGCTGATTATGTTGTTTTCCCTTTATTCACATTCCAGATTCCCATAGGGTGAAATGAAAAGCCTGTTGCCCCACAAATAGAGGGGGAGGGAGGGAAGTGTGTTTTTTTCCCTTTATGCTGAAGACAGATAAAAAACATTAACCTTCAGGGATTAGTCATGTCCACAATATTGTAGCTATTTAAGGTAAAAGGAAAAATAGCCCACAATCTCTCATGATTACAGAAATGTGCAGAAAAATGTGTAATTTATAACAAAGATATTTCATTTTGCTCATTTGATTATGATGAATCTAAAAGGAAATGATAAACCTAATCCCATTTTCCGCTGAATCTTTTTTTTAAAACCTGTAATATTATTTTGAAATTGTTTACTCAGCAGCTGACAGCACTGGTGGCAGAATCAGTTTCACTGTTTTGTCACACTTCCTGTCTCATACACTAGCATAATGACATGGCTCTTATACGTTGCAGAGGGTATAATCCACGAGCACCAGTTTGAGGTCATAAGAACATAAGAATGGCCATACTGGGTCAGACCAAAGGTCCATCAAGCCCAGTATCCTGTCCTCTGACAGTGGCCAATGGCAGGTGCCCCAAAGGGAATGAACAGACAGATCATCATCAAGTGATCCATGCCCTGTTACCCAATCCCAGCTTCTGGCAAAAAGAGGGTAGGGACACCATCCCAGCCCATCCTGGCTAATAGCCATTGATGGACCTATCTTCTATCAATCTATCTAGCTCCCTTTTGAACCCCGTTATAGTATTGGCCTTCACAACATCCTCTGGCAAGGAGTTCCAGAGGCTGACAGTGTGTTGTGTGAAAAGATACTTTCTTGTGTTTATTTTAAAACATGCTACCTATTAATTGCATTTGGTGGCCCCTTGTTCTTGTATTATGAGAAGGAGTAAATAACACTTCCTTATTTACTTTCTCTATACCACTCATGATTTTATAGATTTCCATCATATCCCCCCTTTAGTCGCCTCTTTTCCAAGCTGAAAAGTCCCAGTCTTATTAATCTCTTCTCATACGGAAGCCGTTCTATACCCCTAATCATTTTTGTTGCCATTTTCTGATCCTTTTCCAATTCCAATATATCTTTTTTGAGATGGGGCTACCACATCTGCATGCAGTATTCAAGGTGTGGGCATACCATGGATTTATATAGAGGCAAGATGATATTTTCTGCCTTGTTAGCTATCCCTTTCTTGATGATTCCCAACGTTCTGTTTGCTTTTTTGACTGCCATGCACATTGAGTGGATGTTTCAGAGAACTAATCCACAATGACTCCAAGATCTCTTTCTTGAGTGGTAACAGCCAACTTAGACCCCATCATAGTATATGTACAGTTAGGATTATGTTTTCCAATGTGCATTACTTTGCATTTATCAACATTAAATTTCATCTGCCATTTTGTTGCCCAGTCACGCAGTTCTGAGAGATCCTTTTGTAGCTCTTCGCAGTCTGCCTGGGACTTAATTATCTTGAGTAGTTTTGTATCATTGGCAAAATTTGCCATCTCACGGTTTACCCCTTTTTCCAGATCATTTATGAATATGTTAAATAGGACTGGGCCCAGTACAGATCCTCAGGGGACACCACTATTTACCTCTCTCCATTCTGAAAACTGACCATTTATTCCTACCCTTTGTTTCCTATCTTTTAACCAGTTACCAATCCATGAGAGAATCTTCCCTCTTATCCCATAACTGCTTATTTTTCTTAAGAGGCTTTGGTGAGGGACCTTGTCAAAGGCTTTCTGAAAATCTAAATACACTATACCCACTGGATCTCCTTTGTCTGCATGCGTGTTGACTCCCTCAAAGAATTCTAGTAGATTGGTGAAGCATGATTTCCCTTTACAAAAACATGTTGACTATTTCCCAACAAATTATGTTCATCTATGTGTCTGACAATTTTGTTCTTTACGACGGTTTCAACCAATTTGCCCGGTTCTGAAGTGAGACTTACTGGCCTGTAGTTGCTAGGGTCACTTCTGGAGCCCTTTTTAAAAATTGGCGTCATATTAGCTATCCTCCAGTCATTTAGTACAGTAGCTGATTCAAGTGATAGGTTACAGATGACAGTTAGTAGTCCTGCAATTTCACATTAGAGTTCCTTTGGAACTCTTGGGTGAATACCATTAAGCCCTGGAGACTTATTACTGTTTAATTACTTATTATTATTTAGTTTAGGTCAGGGTGCCTCCTCTTTCCCTGAATCTCACCATGGGATTCAGAAGCAATTTGAACCCATGACTGCTGTGGGAGAGGGAAGAGAGAAAGCCCCCTTTACTCCCCAGATTTCTGCATGCAGCTAGGGACCAAGGTGAGAAACAGGAATGCTCCTGACTCCTTCATAGCTGGAAAGGAAGAACCTGTTGTACACATGCCCAATCCTATGCCTCTCTGTGGACCCAAGCTAGAGAGAAAAAGTCCAGGCAAGAAGTGAGGAAGTACTGACCTGGGAGGGAAGGATGGCGGGAGAAGACCTTCAAGCCCCTTTGTAGGATCCAGAAAAGATCTAGAGCAGCTGGGACAAGATGGAGAGGTGGCAGCCTCCTCTGATCCTGCTGGAGCCAGAGGCTGAGCAGAGCCAAGAGGCAGCAAGGGCTAAAGGCACCCCTCCACGCTCTCCCTCCCTCCCCCTAAAGACAGGAGAAGGGAGGGAGATGAGACCAAGAGGTAACGTCCCCTAAAGACAGGAGAAAGGAGAGAGAGGAGACCAGGAGGTAAGAGGGCTGCAAGTCCCTTGTCCATGGCCCCCTCCATAGAAGTCCTACTCGAGGACTCAGCCTCCCTCCCCACAGGAAGCCAGGTGACAGGAGAAGGCTGCAGCATCTGATATAGGGCTGCAGGGGAAATACCCTGTCTCTGGCATAGGGAAGGGCAGAAGGTTGCAACAACTGTAGATGGGAGTGAGAACAGAAGGGGACTTGGAAAAAAGTACTGTCTTGTGGACAAAACACTGGACTGATCCTCAGGAGATTTGGGTTCTGTTCCTGGCTCTGCCACAGTCTTCCTGTGTGACCTTGGCCAAGTCATTTGCTATGTCTTGGTCCCCCATCTGTAAAATGAGGATGACAATAAGACTTTCCTGCCTTAGTTGGATGTTAAGAGAGTCAATTCATTAAGATTGTGAGGTACTCTGATACTGAGATAGAAATATTTCTTGCTTCTCCATGGCACTAAACAGGAGGATCAACAGGCAGGAGCAGGCTAAGAGACACCCCCTTCCCCCCAAGCCTTTGTGGAGCTGGGCAGGAGGAGGCAGCAGCTGGAAGGAGAGGAGACAGTCTCTTGGCTGCAGCTGTCCCAGTCTTGTGCACAGCAGTATATTTCAGCTCCGGTGCATGTCCCCTGAGAGCCCTTGCTGTGGGCTTGCACACTCCCTTGTTTGTATGGGTCTTTCTGAAACAGCCAGGAAAACCGAGTTGAAATCAAAGGGGCACTCTGGGGCAGGCCAGCTGCACCGACATTCAATGATTATTTGTGGCTGTTATTATAGATACATCTTTCGTGTGCTCTGACCTAAAGCCAAACCTAGGGAGCAAATACTCTGAGTATTTATGACCCAGTCCAGATTCAGCTCAGCGTTTTCCCATAGTACAAAGCTTTAACTTAACTCATCAGGCAAGACACAGAACAGACTTTTTTGGGGGGGGGGGGGAGAGCTGCGAACCCGCTGCTGCCTCTTGGAGCAGGAGCAAAAGAGAAGAGGAAGCTGAGAAAAGCAACACGTGCGGCAGCATCTCTGTCCGTCTCGCTGCGAGATCAAACCAGCAAGACGCAGGAGCTGAGCCATCCAATCCCCCCCGTGCTGCCGCCAGCCGGGCAAGCGAACTGGGGGTAGAAGGGGGAAGCCGTCCCGGGCTGGACAAGCTGCCTTCACTTCTGTGTAGCTGCTGCAGACAGTCACCGCGCTCTCCCGGGAGAGCCCGAGACGAGATGCCCAGACACTGTCTAGCGCCGCAGGCAGGTGTCCCTAGAGCTGGGGGTGGGGGTAGCGCCTGGCTCCCCAGGGGAGGGCAGGGGGAAAGTACCGCCCCCCCCCCCGCCGCAAGCCAAGCGGGCTCATTTCTGGGGACCGCTCCCGGCCAAGCTATCCCGGCTCCGCGCTTCAGCGAACCTGCCCCGCTCCCCTGGACCCCACGGCCGCGCTCCTCGCTGCAGAGCAGGGGGCCCCTCCACCCGGATCCGGCCCCCAGCGCCCCCCTTTTTCCTCCTCTCCCGCCCCCAGCCCCAGCGCTGCCTGTTCCCCTGCCCGGGACTCACCCTCCTGTCTCGGCTCCCGAGTCCACGCAGTCATCCTCGCCGCCCGGCTTCCTCTCCATGGCAGGCGTCAGGGCTCCAGCTCCGCGGTCGGCGGCCCCTGCCTCCTCCCCCGGCTGGCTGCGGCCGCCTCCCGCCACGCGCTCCCCCAGCGCTGGGGGTGAGGAGCCAGCGCAGGCCGCCGGGCTCCCCTCTCCCTTGGCAGCGAGAGCGTGTGCAGAGCCTCCCCGCCCCCAGCCAGCTCCGCCGCGGGGCTCTGGGTGTCAACGCCGCTCCTCTGGCCCGGCCTCCTCCCCGCCTTTGTGCGCAGCTCCTGCATCTCCCCCGCCCCCCCAGTGGCCTGCCCGCTCCGCAGCAGCGACCCTCTCGCTGAGAAGGGGGCGCGGCCCTCCCCCCACGCTTTGGAAGTGGGTCTGTCCCATAGGTGACATCTTCATCGAGAAAGGCTCCCCAGTCGGGCCCTATTAGTTATTACAAACACATGTGGGAGTCACACGTGCTTGGGAGCACATGACACAAACTCCAAGGAACCAACTCTGCTTGGTTCCAGTGACTCTGGCCAGGGCCGGCACCAGCTTGGCAAGCAGGTGCTTGGGGTGGCCACTCTGGAGAGGGGCGGCAAGTCCAGCTATTCGGCGGCAATTCGGTGGACGGTCCCTCACTCGCGCTCGGAGCGAAGGACCTCTCGCCGAATTGCCGCCACAGATCGTGATCGCAGCCTTTTTTTTTTTTTTGGCTGCTTGGGGCGGCCAAAACCCTGGAGCCGGCCCTGGCTCTGGCTGAAGTCTGCCTTCTCCCCTCCCTTTGCTGGTTACAAGGGGCTACCTTTCAGGGGCCGTGGTAGTATATAGTCTGAGACCTACTTTGAGATCTGCTGGGATGAAATGGAAAGGATTATTGCTTGGGCTTTCCAAAGGGGCCTAAGGGCTTGTCTACACTTGGAAGTTTTGCCAATTTAACCATACTAGTAGTTAAAGGGGCAACCCACTCCCCTGTCGTGGGCGCAGTTAGGTAGCTGTAAAGGTGCTTACATTGGCTGGTAGAGTTGATTCTGGTTCAGGGAATGAAATAAATTATGTGTGAATAAGGCGCCTGCATACAGTTTCTGGTGTATACCAGTATAATGATTTTGGTTAAAAAAAAAATCAACTATTAACCAACATAAACCTTTTCTAGTAGACCAGGCTGAAGAGAGTTGCACGCCCAACACCCATTGAAAGTCACACTCTGATTTCCTTCCCCAGACCTGAAGAGATCTGTGTAGCCAGGGCCAGCTCCAGGCACCAGCCTACCAAGCATGTGCTTGGGGCGGCACTTGAAGGGGCGCGGCACTCAGAGTTGTTGGGTTTTTTTTAAACATACTGGGGCTGTTGGGGTGCCCTGCGGTGCTCCAGCCCGAGAGCGGGGCCACCACTGGGCTCCCCGCCCTTCCCCGGCGCTCTGGCCGGCTGGGGGGAGCGGGGCCCCAGCCAGGCTTGCTGCCCTCCTCCCGGCGCTCCAGCCGGTCGGGGAGAGCGGGCCCACAGCCGGGCTCTCCACCCTCCTCCTGGTCAGGGAGAGTGGGGCCCCCGCCGGGCTCGCCGCCCTCCCCACCGGGGGGCGGTGGGAGGCTTTTTTGCCAGGGGCGGCAAAAAAGCCAGAGCCGGCCCTGTGTGTAGCTCAAAAGTTCAACCTTCCACATATTACCTCACTCAATATTGGGATTGGAAAGGACTTCAAGAGGTCATCTAGTCCAACCTGCTGCTCAAAGCAGGCCCAATCCCCAGACAGATTTGTACCCCACTTCCTTAAATAGCCCCCTCAAGGAGTGCCTCACAACTCTGGATTTAGCTGCCCAATGCTCAAACCACTGAGCTACCCTCCTTCCTTCCTCTCTCTAGTTCTCTATGAAGAACTATGGAGCTTTCTTCCTTCTCACCCAGTTTCAACTTGTGCTTGAAACTCCAACAAAGTTTACAATTACTTTTTAAATTATATCATCCCATTTTGCAGACAGTCAGCACACAATTCCTACTGACTCAAAAGAACCATACAAATAATTCTCATTTCCTACAATCCGTATTATTACCCCACTATGACCAAAGAAAGTGGTGAAAGTCTCAGCATTTGTGACATTTAAAACGAGATTGGACAAGACATTAACTAATATACTGTGGGAAACAAGCCTATATTGGCAAAAGGTGGACTAGATGCTTTAATACCATATGTATTTTCCATCTCTGATTTCCATATCTGTGTCTACTTTGCCATAGATTTTGGGAAATTTCCCATGATTGTACCATAACCAGTTCACCTTCACTGGTGGCAGCAGTGTTGGCACTTACTGTAGAATAAGTACAGGCAAGGCATAGGTTAACATCCTGTTGTCTAGACCTGTTCTAAGCAAGTCTGTTGTAGACACAGGGTGGCACCGTATTAAAAAAAAATGCCTTGTGGTCTGTTTGCACCATATCTGTTCCTGGAAGTGGAACTTGTTTAGAAGTAGTGCAACAGTGGATGATTCCTAAAACAGCCTAAAGATCCTAAACCAAAGGTCCCCAAACTCTGGGGCATGGCCCCCTAGGGTTTTGTTTTAAAAAATGCCCTAGAGAGTGTGCAGAAAACAAGGGGGACATGGAGGAATGTCCGTGGGGGCACGGCGGGTCCCAGGCCTGCCCCCATGGGAGGTGGGAATGGAGTGCCCCCCAGCCCCTCCATGTCCCCAGCTCTGCTCTGATCCCATCCCCAGCCTTGGTGTGGCTCCACTCCCGGCCCCAGACCCACCCTAACTATGGCCCCAGCCTCGGCTCCCTTACCCCTGTCTGTGTTCCCCCCTCCCGAGCCGCATCCCTGCTCCAATCCCCAGCTCCAGGAGGACAGGGAGGTATTGACAGGGGTGAGGGGGAACACAACCCTCAAAAGTTTGGGGACCGCTGCCCTAAAAACAGTGAGAGTACTCCAGTTTCACTGTATGAGGTACATCAGTGTGCAGAGGGGCCATGGGAGGGGCGGAGACTCCTCAGCCCTGGGGCACTATTCCCCTGTGGTTCTGTATGGTAGTACAGAGATGGTCTAGGCATGTGGCCAATGTGTCTATGAATCATACAGATCCATTACCCCCAAATACCATTGGTATATAAGGATTGTAGGCTGTAGCAGTTTTGAATATTTTCATGAATTTTAATATATGTTAATATTGGTTTAAAATAGCCCTTTTTTCCCTGGCATACAAGAGCTTTCCTATTATTCAAATAAAAAAGTATGGCTTATATACTGTATAAGCTCTGTTCACTAAAGTCTCACCCCTCCCCCTCTCTCCCATTGAGTTAGTAAAAACTAGTCCTATAAGGAACAATCCTGCACTATCAGGGGGATGTCACATATATAGCCCTTTATACATTAAAATATTAAGGGACAGATTCTGCCCACCCTCCCCCTTACTCCTGTAGAATAACACAACTGAAATCAATAGGGTTAGTTACATGTGCAAAGTTACGTTTAAAGGACTGGAGACAGAGAACTCTACTAAGCAGCGTGAACAATGGTGGCAGAATCTGGTCCTAAACCAGTTAATCCTCAAAACACCCTGTGAGATAAGAGGTATTTGTGACCTTCTCCTCTGGTGTTATCTGGATCGGTGATCTGCTAGGTTACTCCAATCCTTGACTCTGGGAGCCAGCCCTACCCTGCTGTGCTGTGAGAACTCCCATTCCTGGGATGTTCACGCACAGCCTCTGGCATGTAAGCTGCTCCTTGGATTGTGCAACTGAACAACACTAGCCAATATCTCTGGTCCCAGACACAACCCTAGGAACCTCCGTCTTGCAGTGTCCAGTTATGCCTGCTGGACGTTGCAAGCTTATAGGAGTTCATCAATTTAACAAAGAAATTGATATGTACCAGGCTTGTTATCCCAAGGGGAGTCTCTGACACGCTTCAAACCAAATGCACTGCTTCAGGTAGAATAAACAAACAGATTTATTAACTACAACGATAGATTTTAAGTGATTATAAGTCAAAGCATAACAAGTCAGATTTGGTCAAATGAAATAAAAGCAAAACACATTCTAAGCTGATCTTAATACTTTCAATGCCCTTACAAACTTAGATGCTTCTAACCACAGGCTGGCTGGTTACTCTTCAGCCAGGCTCTCCCCTTTGATCAGCGCTTCATTCGCTTGGTGTGGTGTCTGTAGATGTAGATGGAAGAGAGAGGAAGAGCATGGCAAACGTCTCTCCCTTTTATCATGTTCTTTCTTCCCCCTTGGCTTTGCCCCCCCTTCCTTCAGAGTCAGGTGAGCATTACCTCATCACAGTCCCAAACGGACCAAAGGAAGGGGGGTGACTCACTCGATAGTCCAACAGATCCTTTGTTGTTGCCTAGGTCAGTGTCCTTTGTTCCTGTGAGGCTGGGCTGGGTTTGTCCCATATATGCCCTGATGAGGTATGAACTACCCCTCTGCTTTTGGAGAGTTTTTGCCTGGGCTTGCTTTAAGCCATGAGGATACATTTTCAGCCTCATAACTATATACATGAAATTATAACCTATAACATTACTATAACAACAATTACTGTAACATCACTAGAACAACAATGCTCAGTGCATCATGAGCCTTCCGAAGACACCCGACATGACAAACTTTGCATTGGATACCACACAATCATTTTACAAGGATGAACCTGGGAGTGCTGGGTGTTCCCCCGAAGTACAGAGCGTCACAGTATTATCCCATGTTACAGTTGATGTGATTAAGTGATTTGCCCAAGGTTACAGAATGAGTTAGTGGCAAAACCAGGATCAGAATTCATTTCTTGGCTCCTAACCTGAGCCCCAATACTGTGAGGCATTGAATGTATAACTCCCAGTGATGTCAATATCAATTGAGGGCATTGAGCCTCTCTCAGGGTACGTCTATACTTACCTCCAGGTCCGGCGGTAAGCAATTGATCTTCTGGGATCGATTTATCGCGCCTTGTCTAGACGTGATATATCGATCCCGGATCGATCCCGGAAGTGCTCGCCGTCGACGCCGGTACTCCTGCTCGGCGAGAGGAGTACGCGGAGTCAACGGGGGAGCCTGCCTGCCGTGTGTGGACCCGCGGTAAGTTCGAACTAAGATAGTTCAACTTCAGCTAAAATTACGTATCTTAGTTTGAAGTGGGGGGTTAGTGTGGACCAGCCCTTAGTAAGTATTTAGCATTTTGTAGGACAAGGACTCTGGTGTTCAAGTCACTAGTCCTCGCTGCCTCTCTTTGATCCAGTCTATACACAGAAATCATACCTAGTTAACTAAATCGATTTATAAATTAATTGAATTACATCAGTGCAACTGC